GTGGCACATTTTTTGTGAAATAAAGATTTTCAGCTGATACTTCGGCAAAGTTTTAAAACCTTTCATAATTGAACGATTTTATAATGGCCCTCTCATATTAATAACACCCAGAGCCGTCACAGGGCCACTGCAATCGCTACGGCTGCACAAGACCCCCCGAATATTGGAGGGCCCCAGATAAGTAATGTGAAAAAAAAAAACTATGAAAATAATAATTTGAATGATTGAAGTGGCAGAGGTTTCTTAAGAAATCACGCAACGACTCTGGTCACAACAGATGAATAAATAATTATTTACCAAATAAACGTTGTTTTTTCTAAACGTAGATCAAGTTCCAGTTCTGTAATGTAACTGCTTTGATTTGAACTGAGTGATGGGCTGGCAGGAAAAAACGCCAGCTGACATTTTTAGCCTGATTTTACCCATAAAGTGCAATACAAGGTCAATATCATGACGACACTTGTGTAGATTTTTTATTTATTTATGTTTCTTTTCTGTTTAAAAAATGCATGTTTTATTGGGTGTTGGAAATCTTCTAAGCATTCTATTGACAATAGACATTTAACTTCTTTTTTTTTTTTAAATGCGCGCTTTTTATACAAATTTAGTCATCTTATTTTATTGTTTCCATTGCCTTTTAAGCCAATGTTAAGTCCATTTTGAGCCCATACATTAGAACACTGGAGTCAATTAATAGCCTTTAATAGATCGCATCGCTATGCAAGTTATTGATAATTATAGATGTTTGTATGTATGTTGGCTTAATTAAATATTTTCCCATCTGTTTCCAAATGTAGCAAGTGGTGTAGGCCAAAAAAATATTGTCGACATCAAATATGTTTGGAAATAAGCGCACATGTCGAATGTTAGGTCAGGTCCAATAAGCGCACATGTCGAATGTTAGGTCAGGTCCAATAAGCGCACATGTCGAATGTTAGGTCAGGTCCAATAAGCGCACATGTCGAATGTTAGGTCAGGTCCAATAAGCGCACATGTCGAATGTTAGGTCAGGTCCGTGCCTTTTAGTCATACTCTAAAAAGCGTTAAACTTCTTACCTGTGAGGTTCATTGTAATTGAATCGACACATGCTTCTTGCTGATCCCCAACACAAACAGGGTACCCTCATCCCCTCCAATTATTGTCTTTGGACGGGACACACATCTATGTGATTTTCTGTTTCATAGTCGCCTCCGAGGTGACGCGTCTGACGTTGGCACTAAACCATGTTTAAGAAGCCGTTGTAGGCCTTGCGCCTACACATCAAAACCCAAAATATTATCATCCCAGAGGGTATTTCAATCATCAAAGTGGGCTTCACATGTTTTTGTCAAAATGGGATATATGACATTGTGTGCCTTAGAAGCAACTCCTGTTATATAGGCGAAACTGGAACAAGATAATCAGATAGGTTCACTGAACATCCTCGCGATACTGAACAGTGTAAACTTTCTCCGGTCTCATCCCATTTGAACGCAGATAAACATAAAGGGACAAAATGTTTGTTTGGCTGATTGAAATGATAAAACCATTTTAAAAAAAAATTAATTTGATGCTGAAAATTGCCATACAAAGTATAAGAGTGACTTTAAAAAAAATATCTATTTGTCAGTAAATAGTACACAAATTTATTGTTACGCACTGCCTTCTATTGTGAGAACTTAATCTCTTATTTTAATTTTAGGGCTCATTCAAACAATGCATAACAAAGAACGACACCATAGAGAAATACAATAGCAAAAATACGACACTCAAAACAGCACTAATTACAATTAATAAGAATTATTTCAGTATTAATATAATTACAAAACAAAAGAAATATAATTACAAATCATCCACTTACAGAGGATGGGTTTATATATGGGTATCGCCTGTTTCTAAGAAGATTGGGGGGCAGAATATACATTGTAGTCTTGACTAGAATCTTCTAACAATTTCTATAATTTACTACAATTGAGTACCACATTCGAGTTAAGACAAACAGGCGATAGATTGTTTTGTGGTAAAAAAAGATCAAAAGAAATAGGCCACGCTCAATCCGAACGCAGTCTAATTTGGGGTCAAACAGAGTTCACTGCACGGGGAAAGTGTGACGTAAACACGTCCTACATAACAGTATGAGTACTTTAAGGCAATATTCCTCTTACAAAAGTACTGAATTTTAAGCGCTCCAAGAAAAAAGATATCCTAGCCATAATAATATTTTCATCAAATACTCTGGGATGATATGTTAGCAAAACAAGTTCGTGACACCCCTCCCCTCTCAAGTGCTCGAGTTCGTATTTATTTATAGAAATGGCCATTTTCCCTTTTTCTAGCATCCGTCCGTCACAATGTGAGGCCAGATGTTCTTTGTTTTTTTTAGGAGTAAAAGGAGTTTCCCTTCTGGACAGCAAATCACGTCTCACCGCGCATTTGGTGAGCCCAAGGGAAAAGTGTGGATAACCCAGCTAGGCACCAGTTGCGTCGCATGAGTCGCTTAAAGATAATTTTATACCCCACACGGGACTCCATCTACGGGATTGAATTAGGAGTTTTCCTTCTCTTGGATGAGTTGCAATCCGAGTACCATCCACCCCATTTGCTGGTTGGGTTTTTCGCTTGTTTATGCTTTGGATGGGGATTGAACTCAATCCACAAGCTTGGAATTTACGTGATTTAGACCACTAAGCCGTCAAGCCACCAACTTACAATTGAATCATTAAGTATATTTGGAAATGTTGACTTCTTTTTTTTTGTTTCCCTAAAACATGAGGCAAGTTTTACATTAATAATGACCAACTATGTTCTTCAGCTTTATTATGATGTTTTATATATTGTTTAAAAAATACTTTTAAAAAAAATTAATTTTTAATTTAAAAAAAAAAGAAATATGACGGAATTTATAAATATATTGTTTTACTAGCCAATATTCCCGGCGTTGTCAAGATTTGCATTCGAAAACACTCCTAGAACCTTTTAGGAAACATTAAAAAATTAAGGGACTTTAATAACACGTCGCTAAAGAAAAATATTTGAATTGTAAGTTTTTTACTTTAAAAAATGTATTTATAAAAAATTATCTAAACATTGCGTTCCCCGATTGGATTCCGTTTCCGGATGGGATCCCGTTTTGATGGGATCCCGTTTTCGTAAGGGATCCCGTTTTCGGATGGGATCCCGTTCCTGGATGGCTTTCCGTTCACCAGTGGGATCCCATTTCCTGACATGATCCTATTCCCGGTGGTATCACGTTCACTGGAGGATCCCGTTCCCTGGTAGGAAACTTTGCCTGTTAGGATTCTGTCACCCATTTGGATCCCGTTCTCCCGTGGGATCCTGATTCTCGGTTGCACCACGTTCTTGTTAGAATAATGAATGCTATGTTCACTAACTTTGGACAATATTATTCAATAAACGAAGAAGCATATACAGTAATCCAAGCATACAATTTCATTTAAATTATTGAGAGGAATTTGCTTTTGACATTTTTAGTAACTTGCAAAGTTTTCTTTAAATCGTATTCCATAAAATTCGTGGATACTAATTTGAAATATTATATATATATATATATATATATATATATATATATATATAAAATTATGTTCGAATACAAAATAAATCTACAACAAAATTTCATAACTTTAACAAATTTTCATTAAATTTAAGATGGTCTCCGGTTGGGTCCCATTCCAGAAGTTACTATTTTATTTATGCCTATGATACTGCATGGGCGCCCGCAGGGGGGGGTACACTTGCCCCCCCCCCCCACCCCCCAATTTATTGGATAAAATTTTTGTAGACAAAATAGACAAAAAGTGTTTTAAAGTAAAGAGAAAATAAAGAGAAAGTAACTAAGAACAAATTTTCATTAAATTTAAGATGGTCTCCGGTTGGGTCCCATTCCAGAAGTTACTATTTTATTTATGCCTATGATACTGCATGGGCGCCCGCAGGGGGGGTACACTTGCCCCCCCCCCCACCCCCCAATTTATTGGATAAAATTTTTGTAGACAAAATAGACAAAAAGTGTTTTAAAGTAAAGAGAAAATAAAGAGAAAGTAACTAAGCTGATATCCTGTCCGTTCGTTCACCATACAAATACGCTACAGTAAATTAAAACTACATTAAAATATTACTAAACAATTTTTGCCCCCCTTTGGAAAGTTCATCAATTTTTTTTGCCCCCCCCCCTAGAAAGTTTTCTGTGGGCGCCCATGGATATGGGGGCCTATAAAAATCATTCAGATACATAATGGAGTTCTTTTTTTTTAAGTGCATTGATTTAGCCTTTAAATTATTGATCTTTCTGGAAAATTCTAGAGTGTCCCTGAATGAATTGGTATTTTATTACTTTTAAATCCACCAATATTTCAACATGGACTACATCAATCACTTTCCATATGGGCCTATACAACTGACTTAGCTACGTGTTATTTATAAAAGGAAGAAAAAAATCGCTTGGGGCCCTGAAGGTTTGTATATTATGACTTCATTACCGTTCATTATTCAAATATGGATAATCCTGTGTATGTGTCCACTAAGTTTGGACTCAATCCACCCATTCATGAAAGCTTATTTGTTGGTAACTTGATTTATATTGCTCATATTTGGAAAATACGACCTGAATATTATGTAACGTTCAAATCCCCCTAGTATTTCATTCTGGATAATAAAGGATATGTGTGCCAAGTTTGATCAAGTTTCATCAAACCACGTAGAAACGTAAGCTAAGCAAATTCACAAACAAACAAAAAATAATAATTTTTCACTTATATATATGATCTGATATGATATATTATATTATTCTAATAGTCAAGACATTAGTTGTATTTTTAATCTTATATCGGACAATCCATTTTTGCTAGTATGGTCAATTTGTCTAGTCCCTATGATTCACTGGAGATATCTATAAGTTTGCCAGATAAGGCATCAGCTGGCTAAATTCTCATCTTATCTCTGGCCACTGACTCAATGCCCATAAAATTGCAGTTTACTTGGGGCATCATTTAACTTTTGTCACCGAACAGGTACGTAGTGTTTCAAATGTTGAAGCCGTGATTTACGTTTCAAGTAATGTCCATACGTCTGTCATGTATCGGACACTGTCAATGTTTGATGGCCGTGGTTGGAACATTTGCTATTTCCATACGGTTGTGATGTATCGAGCACTGACAATATTTGATTGCAGTATTTGGAATGATTTGCAACACAACATTACAACAGAAAATGTATCTTTGTGCTCAACCTAATAGTTTAATATATGCTAAAAAATCTAAACTTAACAAATTAATGGGCAATTTTTTTCTCAGATTTATTAGACCTTATCTAAGTTTACGTCTTCATTTCTCATACAGTGTATTTCATGCTGGGTGAGTATCAGTTATCACACCTGAAGCCCCTTTTGTGGCACAGTCAATCTTATTAAGTGTCTCCATTAGCCTTCCGGGACTTTCTTTGCTTCCTCTTTTAGCTGAAAGCGACTACACGTTAGGTATTTAAACTATATGCAGTGTGAGGCGTATGATCTGTCCAGCAAACAGTATTTTGTCAAAACACTTTTTCCCCCGTTTCACCTTAGCACATCCAAATAATTTTTGCAGTGTTACGTATTGCAGGAACAATAATTTTAGCACAATACGTCTTTAATGCAGTCTGAAAATATGAAAGTCAAAGGACTAATGATATTATGTATCTTTTCCCTTTTTTGTGAAAATAATTAAGTTAAGAAACGTATACTTTTCCCTGGATCGTTTCAAAGAAATTACAAATTAATTTTACACCCGTTTTGAAAGGGAGAGAACTTAGAACATTCTGAGACTTATCTGGAATTAATGCGGGCAAATTTCGTTTGTCAAAATACCAGAAAAACAGCACGAAGGTAAAAGACTAATTATGACAACTGATCAAGCTTTTTAAAAACATATAAACTACCCACAACTAACTTAAAAGTGTCAATCAATTTCGACTGAATTACTAAACAAAATGGCATAGGCGCGGCGCTCGTAAAGATGGGCAAAAAATTAATAATGAAGGTCTTACGAAAACTGAAGATCTTATCCAACGGTAAAGGCAGATTCAAATAAAATAAATATAATTTCAAGTTTAAAAAATATTTCTTCAGGTTTCGTGTTGATCCGCTAACTCTTCCTTCCAGAAATAAGTTGTCCCTGAATGTGCGTGCACCTATTGCTTGCCTCGTGTGTGCAGCCGTCGAACCCTTAGCCTGTTTCAATGTTCAACGTTTAAGCCACCAAACCAATCCGATGATGATACTCGAGTGACAAGCTCACTGTTTTAGTCCAGAAACGTTTGCTATGATTTAAGTTTATCTCTTTGTGTCCGTCTCACAGCTCGAAAATGTTCAGGAGTTTATTTTCCGTCGTCTTCCTTGCCTCCTGTGTGTCCAGCGGAGTTCTGGGCAACAAATACCTGGCCAAGAAACAGATTGCCTGTGGGGCGGATGAGTTCGCGTGTAACAACCATGCATGCATAGGAGGTAGGTCGTCAACTGTCAACTCTGATTTGATTTAGCGCCAGTGGGGTCCAAGTTTTTTGCTTGTTTGCGTGAAGGAGTTGGACTTCACTGTCATGAATACTGAGTCCGAAGGGATTTTGTTAGTGAAAAGATCATGGACCTGAAAAAAAAAAGGGGGGGGGGGTGGAAGGTGAATTTTGAGTCTTTTTAGAACGTAGTCAATCGTTTTCTTTTAGTGGAGGCATCATAGATTAAATAATATAAATTTATTAATTTTTTGCTTGTTTGCGTGAAGGAGTTGGACTTCACTGTCATGAAAACTGAGTCCGAAGGGATTTTGTTAGTGAAAAGATCATGGACCTGAAAAAAAAAAGGGGGGGGGGGTGGAAGGTGAATGTTGAGTCTTTTTAGTACGTAGTCAATCGTTTTCTTTTAGTGGATGCATCATAGTATAAATAATATAAATTTATTAACTGAGCAACAAAAATTCATTTGATGACATGTAACATTTAAGGAGAAAGGGCATTTTCAGAGGCTGTTTTAGGGTAAGATGTCTTTGACTTCCGGTAGCTTTTACCACAAAAATTTAAAAAATCATTGGAACGAAAGAAATCGTGTTGTTTCTAAATTATCTCCAACCGCAATTTTTTTTTTCTCCAGAGATAAAGCAATGAACAATTAAATGTTTCTTTTGCCGAGTTACCTATTCTTAGTTTATCAAAATCAGACTGTCAAACTGAAGCAGTTTTAATGAAAGCCGTTGCATTCATCAAGCTTTGAACATAGAAAAAAAAATAACAACAACAAATCTAATCATAATTGTATTTTATTTTTAAAACCAAGATATCAATTAATGTTTTCTCTATCGTTGCAAATGTGTTCTGAGTATGTTATTCAGTCCATCAATATCTGATGCCATTCAGCTGACCGCGTCTGTGACACGCACAGAGACTGCCCCACTGGAGAAGACGAACAACAGAACTGCCCAACCGACTGCACGGGGCCACACCAGTTCAAGTGTGACGGCACCAAGTGCTTCGGTGTCATCGACAGGTGAGCTGTCCAGTCAGCAGAGCGCCTGGGTGGTTGGGTGGACTGAAATTATAAAATATTGTCAACAGCATCACTTTAAATGAATCAGCGCAAGCAGCGCACACTTTGGATTTGTTAAAAATAGACTTGATTAAAGTCGGTTAAAGAACACTCAAAGTTTAAATGGTTTTAATGTTTAATACTGTAATATATTGCAAAAGCAGCATTGACTTTTTTTTTTTTACAAGCTCTATACCATTATTATATTATAATCTATTCTCTAATATCTTGAAATAATATAAGCTTTTCTTAAGCAATAAGAAAATAGAAAAAGGAAGTGGTTTGTAATTTCTGAATAGTTTTAGATAAATGTATTGTTTCGACTGCGGAAAGGGGGCAAACATGTGATCTGTTCATGTGATTTGGTAAAAATCTATGTTACAATTTTTTCACTTCAATAATTTTTTTTTTACTCGACAGTTGTAAATGATTTTTAATTTTAAATGCATCTCTCTAACTTTGCCAAATTTTACATTGATCAGATGTGACGGCTTCTTTGACTGTCATGACTTCACCGATGAAGCTGACTGCGCGGGATTCGAGTGCACCTCCGGAAGGGTCCGCTGCGAGACGTCCCACGCCTGCATCCTGGAGTCCTGGAAGTGCGACAACGAGATCGACTGCGAGGACAAGTCCGACGAGAAGGGCTGCGTGTCCGGCAGCTGCTCCGCCAACCAGTGGCTCTGCGCCGACAGCTCGAGGTGCATCCCCAAGGACTACCTCTGCGACGGCGACAACGACTGCCACACCGACCACAGTGACGAGATCGGCTGCTCCTGCACCGCCAGCCAGTTCAAGTGCCCGACCGGACCATGCATCCCGGCATCGTACACGTGTGACGGCGACAACGACTGCGGAGACTTCGCTGACGAGGCCAACTGCGTCGAGATCCCCGACAACGTGTGCCGCGATGTGCTCACCTACGAGGACTGCCACCGTATGAACCAGACCACCCACCCCGTGTGCGTCATCCACGCTGACGGACACAAATTCTGCAGGAAATACTGTGGCTTGTGCGCGTAATTCTTTCACTTTCTAAAATAAAATATTTATTTGCATATTGTATTTTTTTTTAATCGTGAATTCTTTTAGCAGTCGTAAACGCAAACCAAGCTTAAACTATATTTCATTAATCAAGAATTACAAATTAGTTTCAAAAAGACACTTTGTAAACACTATTTTGTCTGCTATAACGGCGTGTTGTCCACATGTAAGATGCCTTCAGAAAATCAGGATCTTATTTTTGAGTAGTGATGATGAAATGGAAAGTAAAGAAAAAAAATCAGCTACCAGTTCAACAGCGATTGAAGTTTATTTTAATGATACGTGTTTTCTGCTTACACTACATAGATATAATTTTCCACGAATGATTGTTACGTTTATACTAATGTATTGCTTTTAATAAATATAAATGTATTCATTTATTTTGGCTATCGCGTTTGTATGATTCTTATTTATTTGTTGTCATTTTGTTATTTCAACTGGTCGCTCTGGGAAAGTATGTCGCGAGCTTTGCGTGTGTTTATTTTTTCTAGGAAATAAGCGAAACAAATTATGGGGAAAACCTGAAAAAAAAAAATAACGCAACAAAACAACGAACATGTCGGCAAGAAGCCTTCGTCAGAGAACAAACAACAGTAAAAACAGAAGTAAATAAAAATAACACTTGGCTGAAATGTAGTATCCTAGTGGACATACGGGACGAATGTAAAATAAACATATTTTTGGAAATGGATAGACGTTTCCATATCATCCCGATCCTAAACGTTACGCCAACCAGTGATTTGTTTTTATCCGAATTTGCCCTTGCCCTCTTCCGATCTCGAGTTTGAATAACCGCTTAAAAAAAAAGTCTGAGGTACGGAGTTTGGTCCGGGTACCGCCATAGTAGTAAACCCGCTGCCAACCTGCAGCAATCAGGGTATTTCCCTTTTCCCTATTGCGTTGTCTGCAGCGAACAGAGCTCCGTCTGTTGGATCTCATCGTGAATGTATCACATACTGAATCTAGGCGGATGATAGGTAAGGTCGCCTTATTAAAGGGACTTGGCTCGTGCTTGTCCTGTCAGTTGGTCGACGCACGCGATCCACGCCCAATGGGAAAAGCGCATTATCTAGATTATTTGAAGGTCGTCACCCCCACTCCCCCCCCCCACCCTTTTTTTTTTCCTAAGAATAACGCAAAGATCTAAGATCACGGAATGTTGTGTCTTTGACAGTGTTGGCTTTCCCTACGACTTTAAGAGGTCGTCACCCCCACCCCCCCCCCCCACCCTTTTTTTTTTTCTAAGAATAACGCAAAGATCTAAGATCACGGAATGTTGTGTCTTTGACAGTGTTGGCTTTCCCTACGACTTTAAGTTACCCATTTTCCACAGATCAATTGTGTAGGTGGTAGTCTCGACATCAACAACAACGCGGCTTTTAATGTTAGTGATTCAAAACCGTAGCACTTTGAGAAATGGAGGGAAAATAAATAACATGTATTCGGTACAAAACTCTTTTCAGACATCTCTTTATTGATATAGCTTAGTGGATTCGCGTTCGGATTTGTATCGACACAGGCCGTTGTAAGAGATAAAATACGATGTTTTTAGTGATCCAACTTAATGAAAAGCCGCTTTTGATCGCAGTTTACATGTTGCATTTTAGTGGGTGCGCGCAAAACAATGGCCTTGTGCAGTGTTACACGCTGCTCTTCAGGGATGATGTAAAGGAAAGTCAATGAGACGTGAGTACGTGAGTTGACAGCCTTGAGAGATCAACAACGTTAAATCGCGATAGTTAAAACGAAAAGTCGTATTAAAAAAAATTTGGACAAGAAAAGTCAGTCGGGACAGAACGCCTCCAAAAGCAACGGATTGCAGCCAGCCACAAGAAACATGAAGATGACTTGACAGAGATAAAGTGATTTCGGGGTAGTCATATGGCGAAGACATTTCCGACACATTGCTAGGAAAGACCTAAAGATTTCCGACACATTGCTAGGAAAGACCTAAAGATTTCCGACACATTGTTAAGAAAGACCTAAAGATTTCCGACACATTGCTAGGAAAGACCTAAAGATTTCCGACACATTGCTAGGAAAGACCTAAAGATTTCCGACACATTGCTAGGAAAGACCTAAAGATTTCCGACACATTGCTAGGAAAGACCTAAAGATTTCCGACACATTGTTAAGAAAGACCTAAAGATTTCCGACACATTGCTAGGAAAGACCTAAAGATTTCCGACACATTGCTAGGAAAGACCTAAAGATTTCCGACACATTGCTAGGAAAGACCTAAAGATTTCCGACACATTGCTAGGAAAGACCTAAAGATTTCCGACACATTGCTAGGAAAGACCTAAAGATTTCCGACACATTGTTAAGAAAGACCTAAAGATTTCCGACACATTGCTAGGAAAGACCTAAAGATTTCCGACACATTGCTAGGAAAGACCTAAAGATTTCCGACACATTGCTAGGAAAGACCTAAAGATTTCCGACACATTGCTAGGAAAGGCCTAAAGATTTCCGACACATTGCTAGGAAAGGCCTAAAGATTTCCGACATACACATTTTTTTATTACGAAAGCTTCATGATGACAGCAACTTTGAGACAACCCCCTTTAATAACTGAACTATTCACCCTCTTTAGTGAAATATATCTTACTCTTAAGTTTCGACAATATTTTTTTGTCCAATGTAGACTCGAGTAGCTGAATATCGATCGTGGTATCGATACTAATGAGTCCATGAACTCATTTCGTTCGTCCTGCTACAGAATAAAAGCAAGTTGTGATCCGGCAATCCGATTACGCGTGCACGCAACAGTTCATCGTCTAATCGGACTGCTCCCGTGCCGTGTTCACGGTGACATAGACACACACGCACACATACACACACACACAATGGGGAAGTCTGCAGCCATAAATCAGTGGTTCATATGTTTTTACAAGTATAATGTCCATTGCTGGTGGGTTTTTTTCCTTTTTACGGTTGCAAAATCTTGTTACATCGCTGAGGCCGTCAACGCGAGGCACCGGTGCTCTCAGCGTGTGTACACCTAGGTCTAATTCACTGAATTATTTCTGAATGTTCAACACAACTCGTAGCATCGTAAGAGCTACACAAACCCTACACTAAACCTCATGAGATTTAAAAGGAATATTTTTTTTATTTTTTTTTATAAATACACCCGAGCTCAATCAGGTTACTTGGAAATAATGTCTCCAAACTGAATAAAAACTGCAATTAATTGTAAATGATAGAATAGACTGATACTCTCCCTTTCTCTCTTTGTGTCAGTGATAGACGGTAGGCACGCATTAAAGGCTTACCCAAGCGCTCTACGTCTACTGGCTTTACCGCCATTGTATCTATATGGTTTTATTTTTAAAATAAGTCAATTAGCCTCTTCGAGCCACCAGCCATAGGCTGAGAACCGATTTTTTTTTTTTTTAAATCTTCATTATTTGATATAGATTGAGTTTAAGATCTCATCAACATAAAGTTGTTCCAAATGTCAGTACTCAACATTATTTTCTTTTTTTTTTATTGTCCAAATTAATTTTATCGAAAATTGAAAACCTTACAATCCTAAATGTTTTCTAGACTGACCAGTCCTACTTCTCCCAGCCTAACCCAAGGCCACCGAACCTGTTTCCTGTGAAAGTCAATTAGTCACTGTGGGGGAAAGTATCTTGGGAATTGCTAAGACAGGGATTCTCAATGTGCACACAAAGATTGTTGCGTAAAATTTTCTACCTGTTCTAATCAATTAATAGAGTATTGAAAATGTTTATAACGTAATTGCGTTACACAATTCGTGATCTAATTGGAAGACCACGTGGTGTTCAGTTGATCTTAGTGCGCATGCGGGGTGAGACCAAGGACACATGGGACGGTGACTGGGCAGGTGGCTTGCCAGGACTAGATGTGGCTCGAAAGTGGGATGGCATGTGGGCACAAGTATTAATACAACAACGGTCATGTTAAAAACCGTGACAAAATAGGAGAGCATTGCACTGTAACAGCAATTCATTGTTGAATGTCATCGCAATATGTGATGGAACACTGTAACAGCACAATAATAATAATAATAGTAATAATAATAATAATAATAAAGTTGATTTAAAAAACACGCTTCATCGCCATAGGCTCGAAGCGCGGTACAAAAGTAAAAAAAAAAAAAATTTAAATATGATAGTTGAATGTCATCGCATTCTATATTGGACACTGTCACAGTACAATATCATAGTTTAATGTCATCGCATTCTGTGATTGAACACTTTCACAGCACAATATCATAGTTGAATGTCATCGCATTCTTTGAGTGAACACTTTCACAGCACAATATCATAGTTGAATGTCATCGCATTCTTTGATTGAACACTTTCACTTTCACAGCACAATATCATAGTTGAATGTCATCGCATTCTTTGATTGAACACTGTCACAGTACAATATCATAGTTGAATGTCATCGCATTCTATGATTGAACACTTTCACAGCACAATATCATAGTTGAATGTCATCGCATTCTTTGATTGAACACTTTCACAGCACAATATCATAGTTGAATGTCATCGCATTCTATGATTGAACACTTTCACAGCACAATATCATAGTTGAATGTCATCGCATTCTATATTGGACACTGTCACAGTACAATATCATAGTTGAATGTCATCGCATTCTATGATTGAACACTTTCACAGCACAATATCATAGTTGAATGTCATCGCATTCTATATTGGACACTGTCACAGTACAATATCATAGTTTAATGTCATCGCATTCTATGATTGAACACTTTCACAGCACAATATCATAGTTGAATGCCATCGCATTCTTTGATTGAACACTGTCACAGTACAATATCATAGTTGAATGTCATCGCATTCTATGATTGAACACTTTCACAGCACAATATCATAGTTGAATGTCATCGCATTCTTTGATTGAACACTGTTACAGTACAATATCATAGTTTAATGTCATCGCATTCTATATTGGACACTGTCACAGCACGATAGCATAGGTGAATGTCATCGCATTCTATGATTGAACACTGTCACGGCACAATGTCATATAAGATCTGCAAAGTCCATTCTATCAGCAAATCAGCTCTGTATAACTCTCAAAGCATTCAACAACAAGACATTAAATTTACAATACTTGGTTTATATCGTTTCTGCACCTGTCACTGGTCCATAAAACAATATCTACACGTTCTGTTCTCTGTTGACATTCAAAACAACTTTTTATATTATCTTTTAAAAGATGAAATTACAAAAATTTGCCAAAATAAAATGTCGATATGTGAGTTTCATAAAGGGTTAACTATTTAAATGTTATAACAATATTGGTATAAAGTCCCATAATAAACATTATTTCGTATTGATTCAATGATTCAAGGGGGGGGGGGGGGAATGGATTTCTGATAACGTGTATATTTTGTGACAAAAAAAAAAAAGATTTACCTCTGTGTCGCTAACAAGAGATGTTGAAAATACCACTGCTCCATAAGAAAAGTGAGTGTTCATTTTCACCCGCTCGCACGTTGAAGTAGAAGCTGATTGGACAGTGCCACTAATTTGTGGTTGGAGTGTATAGCCGACATCGGTCACTATACTTAATCAAAAGGTATTTTTGTAGAGGGTCATTTCGAATTTTAATTTTCAAAAAAGCAGAAACAGCAACAAATACAGGGCGACGTCATTTGGGTAGGGCAGGGTGGGGCATTCCTCCTCATGAATGTACATGTTTTATTTAAATTGCTATGTAATGTAGCGCTCCCAGTAAAAAAAACAACTTAACAAGCCGACAAAGTTTTGGTTTTGCCTCCCCCTTGAAAAAATTTGAAAATGACGCCCCTGATCTGATATACTGACATTTACAGCATAGAAAAAGTCAGTGCATAAATAAGCAGAGTATCTAATGAGTGCATAGAAAAACCAGAGCATTATTAAAAAAATCAGTGCATATGTAGAAATATCAGTACATAATTAGATGAGCCAGTGGATAATTAGATAAACCACTGCATAAGTAGAAAATGAAGCACATACATAAGAAAAAATTATACTTAGAATTTAAAAAAATGTAATTCCAATGTTATCGTAACGACAAATCATGCCGTCCAGGTGAGGCGTGCGTGAGTCGGTCAGACAGATTGATGCACGCCATGAAATTGTCCTCTAAATCTTGTATCGATTTTTTCATAAAAAAAGAATTTGTTTTGGGTTGAACAATAAAAACCATTGCAGACGACGCCATTTCGTGCAGTTGATTCCGGAGTTGCGTGATCGGGGTTGAATTTTTTAACTAACATTTTAAAGTAGTGTTGGCAAGAAGCAATCTTCTAACTAACTTTTTTAAAGTAGTGTTGGCAAGAAGCAATCTTCTAACTAACTTTTTTACAGTTCTACAAGATTTCCATTGGATTCCTGTGAGTGGGCGCAATGACTACAAAAGTATGTCCCATGGCGTACAGCTGCAGAGATGGCTCAGCACCGGAATATCTCAAGGAACTGATTTATAAATATGTATCCTTGAAGAGCCTGCGGTCTCAAACACGGTACTTGCTGAGTGTTCCTAGTGTGGATAAACACAGAAAAAAGTCGTACGGAGTGCGCTCGTTTGAAGCGATGGCGCCAAAATTATGGAACAGTTTGCCGCAATCTTTGAGGGGAATTATAAATGATAAAAAATCATCTAAGAAAAACAATTAAAAACGTTTTTGTTTCAATAGATTTCTTAGGACCATAGCGCAGTGAGCGTGCTACATTTGCATGGATCCCGGCGCGATATAAATATCAAATCAATAAAAAAAAAATCAATTAAAAGTAGTGTTGGCAATATGCAATCTTCTAGCTAATATGTTTGATTTAAATCCTACTTCAGTCTGTTAGATGTGACAGTTACTGCAAGTTTAAAAGCCGTTTTATTTCTAATAACTTGAGGTTACTAACACTTGGGACTGTTTGACGGCCTTCCTCTGTCTGCTCTGTAAAACAAAGTTTCTGTTAATCAATTTTCCGTCAAATTAAAATTCCATTTTGAAACAAACAATCCAATACAACTATGTTACTGGTGTGTTAGTCGTAGCGTGCAACTAATCTCTTATATTTCGTTAGTGACAAACTATGCCAGCTCTTCTTTCGCACACACAAAAACGTGTCCTATATAAATCGTTCACCCGAGTTCCTCAATTTCAAATTGTAACATGCTATTCGTGCTAGACAGATATATATTTAGACTCGTGAACTTTTTTTCACCTCACCGACGTCATGCGAGTAAGAAATCTGCTTTACTCTAATAGGATCCTGGGAATGTCACTTGCCCTTGTGCCACATGGTTTCCTTATTCGGACGCCGCACAGTACCGGTAGTGCCTGGACCAATTAGATCGCTCCACCGCCTGATCGTGTACATCGTCACTGACAGGCCAGTCACAGCAGACGCAGAAAAAAAAGTTTTTTTTTGTAGTTTGGGGGTGGGGGTATCGATCCTCTAATTAAATAGACAAAAGTCGATCCTAACAATGCCGTATAAATGTCGATTCCCCGTGGTTGTTATTGGTCGTTGTAATGTTGGTTTCCGGACAGTCGGCGTGGATGTTTTCGCTGGACAGGGTGTACAAAGAATTAGTTGACATTCAAGTTCTCTATTTATTCTTCTGAACGTTGGTAAGGTCAGTTGTTTACAGTAGATTTTCACCCATAATCATATTTGTGTGTGTGTGTGTGTGGATTGCTTATGTTTCTGTGTTGAAACTTTAAAAAAAACAAATCAATATTTGGTATATTTGATAGAACAACAAAACAGTTTTTTTTTGCCTAAACTATTAAAAAGGTGATTTTTTTTTTTTTTTTTTAAAGAAGAGATTTGTTTGTTACAGAGTTAGGGTTAGGGTTTAGGGTAAAATTGCATCCAGAAATAAGATAAAAGTAAACTAAGCGTCAGTGGTTAAAAACTAAGAACGTCAATAATAAGCCAAGAGCTCAATAATTAACCTGTTTGAAGCGCCTGCGCTAAAATCCAAAAATTCAATGTTTGCAGCAAACAAAAAATGTCGAGCACTAAATCTTAGGCCACCGTCAGCGCGGAAGTCAATACACCAGATCTCGTTGACGCCCATGAAATGGCGACTGGGTAGATAGCTGCCGGTTCTATTTCCCGAACTTCGATAAAAACCACCTGCAATCAAGTGGCAGTGAAGCATGGGGGGAAAACACACTTCAAATCTGTCATGGGCTTTTCTGTTGGTTTAAAAGCGTATTGAGATTGTTACAAAAAAGTTATATTCATTTGGACAGTGGGCAGACGTAACGACTAGCCACGATCGTTGAAATCAATACAATAGGGACCTGCTTATCGATAAAACAACTTAGAAACGCAACCATGGGCACAGAGAGATGGAACATCATTCACCTACCAATTTATTTAATTATGGAGGCAAACACAACATTTTATTGTAACAAAAAATCACTCAAATTTTTAGTCACAAGGCTCCCAAAACTATGTAATGTGGTGCCCAGGGGAGGCGCGGCTTCCTCATAGGGGCGCCACGAATTGGGGGAAAAAATTCCTTAAAGTTTGCTATTTATTTCATAGCGCTCTTGTGGAAGTATGAAACAAGGTAACTTTGATAAACACGGCGCAGGGCGTCTTTGAAAAATATGACAAAGGGCGTCTTTGAAAAACGTGACGCAAGGCGTCTTTGAAAATTATGAATCACGGCACGTTTGAAAAATATGAATGCAGCAAGGCTGTTCTGACTTTCGAAAAAATTTGAGAGCCGCTGTTTTATTCGCTACTCCAAAATCATTCGGATTGCCATGCGTGGTTTCAACACCGTTCCATTGGGGAAAGATCTCGCTAAATAAATTAGAACATTAGATTATATGAGTCAGCCTATGGGCGAGTATGTCATCGTGACATTTAACGGCTAGGTGTGAATCCCATTTGCCAGCTTGAAATAACATGAACTTGCACCCTCCGATAAACACGCGCATCTGTGCCATATTCTAGATCCACCTCTGAGTCTGTTCCTATAGCCACGCACCTACAACAGCAGGTATATAGTTCAATCAGCCTACCAAACAATGAACTACCCACCTACAACAGCAGGTACCTAGTTCTATCACCCTAACAAACATTTACGTACCCACCTACAACAGCAGGTACGTACTTCTATCAGCCTACCAAACATAGACGTACCCACCTACAAAAGCAGGTACGTACTTCTATCAGCCTACCAAACATTAACGTACCCACCTACAAAAGCAGGTACGCAGTTCTATCAGCCTACCAGACATAGACGTACCCACCTAAAACAGCAGGTACCTACTTCTTTCAGCCTACCAAACATAGACGTACCCACCTACAACAGCAGGTACCTATTTCTATCAGTCTACAAAACATAGACGTACCCACCTACAAAAGCAGGTACGAAGCGCTATCAGCCTACCAAACATAGACGTACACACCTACACCAGCAGGTACCTAGCTCTATCAGTCTACCAAAAATACACTCATCTACCATAAATTAACCCCCCCCTCACCCACCTTTTCCACTTTTTTCTCCTCCACACCCGATATTGGCATTGAGGACACAATCGATTGCACGCCTCTATGGCCAAGACTGAGCCGTTTACATCATTTCAGTTTCATTTCTCTACATACGAACTGACAGCCACAGTCTGTTCACCGTCGGGTGTAGCAATCTGTAGCGATGCCTGTTGTGTTCCGGGTTCAAGTGCTTATGTAAGAAGGTTTTCATGTGTCAGTCATTCGAGGAGTCAAATAGTTTTTTAACTGGCTGGTCATGCGTTTAAAAATGCATCAGGTTTTTATTAATTTTTTTTTGTGTTAAAAACGAGAACGTGTAATCGATTTACGATAAACCAAACAAAAGCTTGAGATATGAAATAATAATATTAATTAAATGCACACTCATAATTTTTTACTATTGTAAAATATGACTAAGAGCCAGAAGATATGATTTGTACAATGTTCATACTGAGTACAGTGTACAGTTGTCAAGAAAGAAGTAAGTAGAAATCAGTTGCCTTTTTTTGTGTTTATATCGAACGTGTTGATGGCCAGGAAATATCAATCCAATCATTAAAAATATGTCTTCTTTTTTTTCTGACTTTATAATATTTATCTCTTCAAGCTTGTCTTTCCTTTGATGCATCTCTTAAATCTTTAATTTTGATGATTATATCTAGTCTAACAATCTTTCATTTCGTTTTCTTTATTCTGATACTAACTTTTTAAACTGTATGATGTATTACTTTTAGAATTCCATGACTTTATTTTCCAAGTCTCCGAGTGGGAGTTACCTTACGAATGTTAACCTACGAATGTTACCCTAGGATCGCATCATTTAGCCAACGCGTTGGCATTACATTCGATACATTCCGCTTAACCAAAAATAAAAAAAATAAATCATGTTACATTATTAACTTATCGTTTGTTGTCTAGTGGTCCTTGACACGTGCAGCACGCATAGAAGCCTTCCTAGGTGTGTCATTAAAATTGTGTCGTCGTTTGTATTGTCAAGTAGTCAACAAGGAAAACGCCCATTTATTTCAGAAGAATTTACGGTTTTTCTTTTTTATGTCTCCAAGTTAAATTAAACTCTACGATCATGCCCTATAACAAACACATTAACCACCGCCAACCCAAACAACCACACAACCACACACCCAACGCACAACGGGTTGCTGCAGTAGTTCATTAACGAGTGCTAATCAATGTATGGATGACGGAGCAACGGTCAGTTTAATATTCCTAGTAAATGTATTCTTAAATTATTGTGTATGCACGCTTACGTTTAGATTTGCGCACTTCTTCATCTCTTTATATTATAGTAAACCTGACCATCTGAGGATCACAAAAATCGATGGTTGTGTAGCAGAAAATTGGTTTCCTGTTTCAATTAAGAGTTCTCAAATGATTACTTATATTTGTCAAAGGAAGCCAATCAATACAACACAATCTGAGATACGACCGATTGCACCGGCGTCAATGAGCAAACTAGTCAAAAGTGGTGTCAAAGCCATTCATTTTACTATTCCGCAGTTAATGGTGTCCATTACTAAAGTTCTTTTGTTTCTTTGAATGTTGCTATTTTAGGTGGTGACAACATGACAGATGGTGGCAGCGTGCTAGGGGAGGACATTTCCTCTCCTGCTGGCTTTACCAGGTTTGAAAATGCGACAGTCGGCGCCCTCTATATGCTCTTTTGTAAGTTTTATGAGTTGTGCCCAAAAAAAAGTTATCGCCTTTAAACGTTTTAGGCAAACGATAGAGACAACATTGGATGCTAAAAGCCTTGATGCAATACAAAGTTGTCATTTATAGATAAATTGTGGGGATAAAAATCACAATATTTAGCGATCTACGCATTTAACATTTTAAAAAGATCTAATTAATTTTTTTTTAAATGTTGTAATCTCACTCTAAGTCGAAGTCTCATGTCTTTGAGTCATCCAAATGTTGTGGGAGGTAACCGTCTGTGTTCATGTCAGATAATGTTTTTAGAAAATTGAATTTGTTCAATGATTGCAAATCAGCTTACAATTTCTATTTGTTTTAACGCCAAAAATTTCCTTTAAGTTTAAAGTGTATAAAGTAAATATCAGTGATGGTTGTTAGCACAAGGTTCATTGGGGTAAACATCTCTTTTGTAAGTCATGGTACGTGCGCCTCGAGTTCACGTCAGCCGTGAGTTGAACTTGGTGCAAATGTCCCGGCAACGCTAATTGGCGTCGCTCTAGGTAATACAAATTTTAAGATTAAATGTGCCTAATATAGCTCAGTGGGCGAGGACTAGGCCGTTCCGAGCTGGCGGTCAATAGACCAGTCGCTTGTCTAATGGCACAATTATTGGGGTTTTTACTTAATTGCCACTCATGTTTAGCTTTGGTCAAATGGAAATGAATTGTGACGGAATGAGTTTAGTGTTATGTTAGCTTATGGGCCTAGAGACTTGTAAGACGAGTAAAGTGGCAAAGTAAAAGACATGTCTCAACACGGTATTGATTCCTTATCTATTGTAAACATCAGCTTCTATTTTTTTTTAAAACATGTAGGATTTTTACACTCCCCTACCGTCAAGTCAGAAGTACCTCAATAAAAACAAGATAGGGAGGGAATGTATTTATTAGAACAGAGACACATTTAATGTATGCTATGGTCTAAAACATGGACACAATTAATGTATGCTAGTGTCTAAAACATGGACACATTTAATGTATGCTGTGGTCTAAAACATGGACACATTTAATGTAAGTTGTGGTCTAAAACATGGACACATTTAATGTATGCTATGGTCTAAAATTGGGACACATTTAATACATGCTGTGTTCTAAAACATGGACACATTTAATGTATGATATGGTCTAGAACATGGACAAATTTAATGTATGCTTTAGTCTAAACCATGGACACATTTAATGTGTGCTGTGGTTTTAAAACATGTACACATTTAATGTATGCTATGGTCTAAAACAGCGGTTCTCAACCTGTGGGTCGCTTATATTCCTTGACCACTTACAGCTTCTATTTCTTGACCACTTCTATTCCTTAACTACTATTAGCTTCTATTCCTTAACAACTTATAGCTTCTATTGCTTGACTACTTATAGCTTCTATTTCTTGACCATTTACAGCTTCTATTCCTTGACCACCCATAGCTTCTAATTCCTTGACCACTAACCAACAGTTTCTATCTGTTAACCGCTAACACACATCTTCTATTCCTTGCCCACTAACTACTAGTTTCTATCCCTATATCGCTAAACAGCAGCTACTACTCCTTAACTGCAAATGAACAGCATCTACTCATTTGCCACTAAACAACAGCTAATATTAATTGCCCAGTTAAAAGTTTTACAATGTATTTGGAATTTGAACAAAAGAAATTGGTTCAAAGGAAAATGGACATGTTTTCGTACAAATTTCCGTTAACCCTAAAAATAGCTTCCAGACATTGTGCAACCAGCCAATGGCCTATATCGATATGTTCTTTAAATTTCATATAACTTAACCTTAAGTTATAAATTGTGTTGTTTTTTTTTTAAACTTTAGGTATTGTAGGAGTTACCACAAATTTCCTAACGGCCTTGACCTTCTACAAGGACACCAAGCTGCTGACCAACAGCAAGCCATGGTTACACATTTGTCTATCTGTGGCCAACATGGCCGTTGTTGCACCGTCACCGTTTCCAGCTTCGTCCAGTTTTAGTGGCAGGTAAAGTGTGAGTGGCAGGTGTGGTGTTAGTGGCAGGTATGGTATTAGTGTCATAAATAGTGTTAGTGACAAGTATAGTGTTAGTGGCAGGTATGGTATTAGTGGCAGGTACATTTTTAGTGGCATGTATAGTGTTAGTTGCAGGTGTAGTGTAAGTGACAAGTACATTGTTAGTGGCAGGTACAGTGCTAGTGGCAGGTTTAATGTTAGTGGCAGGTGCAGCATGAGCGGAAGGTATAGTGTTATTGGCAGGTATAATGTCAGTGAAAGGTATAGTGTTAGTTGCAGTTATAGTGTTAGTAGCAGGTATAGTTTTAGTGGCCAGTACATTGTTAGTAGCAGGTATAGTTTTTGGGAAGGTAAATTGTTAGTAGCAGGTATAGTTTTAGTGGCAGGTACATTGTTAGTAGCAGGTATAGTTTTAGTGGCAGGTACATTGTTACTAGCAGGTATAGTATTAGTGGCAGGTACATTGTTAGTAGCAGGTATAGTTTTTGGGCAGGTAAATTGTTAGTAGCAGGTATAGTTTTAGTGGCAGGTACATTGTTAGTAGCAGGTATAGTTTTAGTGGCAGGAACATTGTTAGTAGCAGGTATAGTTCTAGTGGCAGGTGTATAGTTAGTGGCAGGTATAGTTCTAGTGGCAGGTACATTGTTAGTAGCAGGTATAGTTCTAGTGGCAGGTGTATAGTTAGTGGCAGGTATAGTTCTAGTGGCAGGTGAATTATTAGTTCTTACAGAGAAAATGGCTATTTTTTAAAAATGTTTGTGTACATTTAAATATTGTTCTATTATTATTTATTATTCCTAGGGACCTTTTAAAAAATTGCATTTCATCATTGTGTACACGGTAGACATAAACACATTCATTATTGTGTTGGTCTTTTTTTTAAAGTTAAAATCAAGTTTAGTTAAAGATCTTGACTACATTGTATGTGGATCGTTTACAGTTAATATGAGCTTAGAGTATAATTTTATATGTAATTAAAGTATATTTTTTTATTATAAAAGTTGATATCTGTATAATAAAACCACAATTCTGTATGATAAAAGCATAAGTCGGTATGTTATGTAGAGCTTGTTTAGAAAACTTTCCTCGTGCGTGCACTCTGGTTGACCCCACATGAGACACTACGTTCATAGATGGGCGTGGCTTAGTCTTTTGATCTGTCGTGTTTATTGCCGACAGCAACTAAAAATAATTAATTTGTTCTCAGTGGTGTTTTGTCCAATGTTCGCGATTGTATTAGAAAAGTAAAGGCGTTTCTGGACGCGTTGGTAGTCCCACTATATAAAAATAAAGTGTTTCGGAGATAGAGAGAGCTTCAGATAGACGGAGATAGATATTATTAACTTTATGAGACAATTGTATTATTCTGTATGTGCTCATATGTGTTTATTCGCATTCATCATTCATCATTATTAATTGGCACATTGTACTAATTGTGTACCGGTACAAGATTTTCCGATACTCTGTAAGTTGATGATTTGTAATTATATTTCTTTTGTTTTGTAAGTGTGTCATTACTAAATTAAATCTTATTCATTGTAATTGGCAACTGTTTTGGGTGACGTAATTTTGTTATTGTATTTCTCTATGGTATCGTCCTTTGTTAGGCACTGTGTGAACGAGCCATAACTTAAAACAAGAGATTAATTTCTCACAAGAGAAGCCAGTGAGTAACACAGTATGATAAAAGTATATTTCTGCATGATTAACGTATATTTCTGTATGATAAATGCATACTTTTTTAAAGGAATCATCCCATGGAATACGCATCATCGCTTTGTTCAATGTGCACGAACGTGACAGTGGTGGGTGGTAACTATTTTTTTATCAGAATATTAAATACCCACAACCTCCCCCCAACCCATAAATGACACCATCCTTATCATCGAATGCTTCATTTCTGCTATGAACAGATGGCTGTACGGAAACACCATGTGCCAGGCCTACGCCTTTGAAGGGATGTTCGTGGGAATCGTCGCTATTGGCACAGTTATTGCCCTTTCTATAGAGCGGTACATTGTCGCCACCAAGGCCAACGCTAGTGAGTCTAATAGAGTTAAAGGTACATAGTCGCCACCAAGGTCCACCCAAGTTAGTTAAATTAAAATTAGTGGTACATTGTCGCCACCAAGTCAAGCGCTAGTGAGTCTAATAGAGTTAGCGGTACATAGTCACCACCAAGTCAAGCGCTAGTGAGTCAAATAGAGTTTGTAGTACATAGTCGCCAACAAATGAAACGTTAGTGGGTGATGTAGAATTAGCGGTCCATTCTTGCCACCAGGGCCAACGCTGGGGAGTCAAGAGGATTTAGGGGTATTTAGTCGCCCCAAGCCCAAGGCTGGTGAGTCAAATAGAGTTAGTGGTACATAGTCACCCCAAGTCCAATGCTAGTGAGTCAAATGGAGTCAGTGGTACATAGTCACCCCAAGTCCAATGCTAGTGAGTCAAATAGAGTTAGTGGTACATAGTCACCCCAAGTCCAAGGCTAGTGAGTCAAATAGAGTTAGTGGTACATAGTTGACACCAGGCCAACGCTGGTGTTTAAAATTGAAATGCTCCGTCAAACTGTTGCGGTGTAAAAATGCTTGCCAAGATAATTAATTTTTGTTCTTGTTCCATTTTTTTTTCAGTTTGAATGCTATAGTTATGACAATAGGAAAAAATTAATCAATCTCGGTTATGGCTATTTATTTATTTATTTATTTTTTTAATTTTTTGTTTTTAAAGGAAGAAGAGGGTATGACTTGAAAATATACGTTTTTTTGTTTGTTTCTGTTTAGATGGGAATTTAAAAAAAATTAAAATTATTTTTTTTAAAAATATTATTTCTTTTTAATCCATTATATTAGCTTCGCTTTTTTTCATGTGTTTGTTAAACACTTATGCTTGGGGCGGCTAATTGATCATTTTCCCGTTAGCTACAGAGCTGAAACTTGGCACATGGACTTGCTAGCGATGAAAACACACTCTTTCAAATTTACACCTCTAACTCCCCAACCTCAAAACTCAAAAATCTGTTTTAACGCTGCCAGATGCCATTGAGTTCACGAAATTTAATTTCCGATTACTGCACTAAATGATGTTCAACAGTTTTAACATAAAATAGTACGCTCAAATAGAAATTTGACGCAATTTTGACAAAAATTTGATCGTGTGAACTGACGCTAAGTCTTGCAGCCCATAAAAAAAAGTTATAATGCGTTATGTTTAATTTTAAAAAAAAAGTCGTTGAGAAATGTAGAACTTATAACTTTCCCTCGCATCTCCTGCAAGGTTGGGAAATACTGATGAAAATAACGGCGCTGCAACCGAAATTGTCCACCAAGGTAACCGTCAATCTACCATGGCTGGGAATTAATCCAACCACAATATCTCTTTTCCGTTTCAGAGGACGGTACAGATTGGTTCTACACATGGGCGATACTGTTGGTCGTCGGTAACGGGTTCTTCTGGGCTGTGATGCCGTTGTTGGGCTGGAGCAAGTAAGTCTCGCCACTCTTGCCTTGTGGGGCCTTTGTAAGGCAAGTTATCACGCATGACCGGCAAATCAAAGGGTCTTTACATGGCGTTCAAGTAAAGACCATCGCACGTTAAAAGTTGCGATCCCAAAATGATTCTGGCTCCGCTTTCTTTCTGTAAATCCAGGTACACTATTGAGCACTCAGGTACATCGTGCGCCATAGACTGGAAAAACCCGGATGAGAGCTACATCTCCTACATCCTAAGCTTAGAGATCTTCTCCTTCTCCCTCCCCATGGCCGTGGGATTCCTGTGTCTCTACGTAGCCAGTGGTCAGTCCAAGAGTCATCAGGTGGGCGCTCCTACAGGTGGAGAGGGCTCAAGTTCCAGTCAGGCGGAGCTCTCCATCGATCAAAGAACAGTGGCGTTTTCAGAAAACCAGCTGCAGTCGGTATGTTGTGAAGAATTGAAATTTTATAATAAAGTTGTCATAGTTAGGTATTCCTTGCAATAAAATGTGTTAAAAGGCCAACAATTATTAATGAACCAAAATGACACAAAGTGTTCTCCACACCTAAAAGTAATCGTTCTCAAAGTATAAATAAAATAGAACATCATTTTTAATTGTATAGATTTGTTCAAGGCACTGCTCTTTAAAGCTTATATGCTATGAGGACAAGCAGCACGCTTTGCGCATTCGTAAATTACAAGGATATACATTTTTTTTTTACAAGTTACAAACATCAGGGTCTAAGGGTTTTAGCTAAAGAAAAACCTTAAAAAAAACGACTACTGCTGGTACATTTACCCTCATCTCTGCCGCCATTCTATTTTCACTATTGTCCTATGGTCTGCTGTCGTTTTATGTGCACTGTTGTCCTCAGCCTTGCAACCATGATATATAGTTTACTCTTGTCCTCAGTCTTGCAACCAGGATATATAGTTTACTCTTGTCCTCAGTCTTGCAACCAGGATATATATTTTACTCTTGTCCTCAGCCTTGCAACCAGGATCTATATTTTACTATTGTCCTCATTCTTGCAATCAGGATATTTGGTTTACTCTTGTCCTCAGACTTGCATCCATGATATATATGTTACTCTTGTCCTCAGTCTTGCAACCAGGATATATAGTTTACGATTATCCTCAGTCTTGCAACCAGGATATATAGTTTACTCTTGTCCTCAGTCTTGCATCCATGATATATATTTTACTCCTGTCCTCATCCTTGCAACCATGCCATATCTTTTACTCTTGTCCTCAGCCTTGCAACCATGCTATATCTTTTACTCCCGTCCTCAGCTGTGCTACCCTGCCATACCTTTTACTCCTGTCCTCAGCTGTGCTACCCTGCCATACCTTTTACTCCTGTCCTCAGCCTTGCAACCCTGCCATATCTTTTACTCCCGTACTCAGCCATGCAACCATGCTATATCTTTTACTCCTGTTCGCAGCTGTGCTACGTGTTCATCCTACTCGTGTTGATCGGCTGGGGGCCGTTTGCCTTCCTCTGCACCTCCACCATGTTGGGCGGCGCCCGTGGCCTCTCCATGCTGGCGGCCAGCATTCCGCCTCTGGCCTGCAAGTGCATGGTGTCCGCTTATCCCCTGGCGTACGCTGTGACCTCTCCTCGATTCCGTCACAGCTTTATGGCCGTCCTTGGAGGTTCTGAGAAAAAGCAAGATTAGATTAAGTCAAGGGTAAAATTATTCAATGCTATGTTCATATTATACAGATAGATTATGTTCAAACACTTTACCTTAATGAAATAGAATATATAAGCTTTAATTATCATACGAGAAAAAAAATTGAGTTGCTTCAGCAATTCTACAAATAACATTAAAGTAAAGTAAAAGTCACTTAATTCATTTATGTACAAACTATTATTGTTGTTTTTTTTTTAAAGAAGGTAAAAAATAAAAAGAATGGGCACAAGTCCCTCACGAAAATGACATCAGCAGAACGGATCAAAAGTGGGTTGACATACGATATAAAAATTAAAGGGGGAAGTGCATCAGAGCTACGTAAAATTTGCATTTTATACCAAAAGATACACAAATATTACATTTTATTTACAAGAATTTCCTATGTTAATCTGCCTAATTTAAGTTTAATTGATATTTCCACTGCACGTCTTACAAATGAAGTTACCTTGAAGTGGTCGAAAAATCGGCGAGCTCGAAAAAGAATTGTTGCTTTATAAAAATACAACTATAGCTTATATAAGTACAAATTTGTATATTGACTTGAATCTTTGTTTTTCCAAATTTTTTTACCAAAAATATTTCAAGCTTGAAAGGGGCGCTATTTCATTTCTTGCATTATGCGCCTTGTGTCGTCGATACACCTCTGCATGAGTCTCACTGGTGAATTTAAATGAATAAAATAGTTGAGTATAATCCAATGCCTTAAATCGTTATAAAATATTTATATGCTTTCTTCTGTTTTCTTTTATAGTTGGTTGCTCTACTGCAGTCTAGAAAAGAAAATTGTAAAAAATAAAATAATTAATTCATTTTTTTTAGTATGAATCTCATTGTTATAATTATAACATTCCATAACACGATAACTCGTTTTAATGTTCAATGCACTCATTTTCGCGTCACTTATACAACTTTAACTAATATATATATTTAATTGCGAAAAGTTATAACCAGACTTTCGCGACTACGCAGTGCCGCCATTGCAGGGTTTGGCACAGTTGGCCCGCTGACACGTTGAATCTGGCCAGCAATACCTTTCAGGAAGTTGATTCATGTTCTTGTAAAATGTAAAAAAAAAATAATAATAATTATTATTAAAAAATGAAAATAAATAAAAAAACTATTCATGTGTTTGGTATGTCGAGAAAGAACAAAAAATACCCTCCTTAACTTCGTAGGCATTTTCCTTAATCTCAGGAGCTGTAACAAAATATTTCGTTTTTTTATAATTGACACGTTAAATAAAATGATTTCTTTTACACTGGCCGGCACCTTTTTCATATTTTGTTTCGTTTAAAAAAAAAATTGACATTTCTGGTATTTTCTGGCAAAATTTCAAATTCAAGATAAAATAATTAGTTAATATTTGAAGTGGTACTGAGATTAAATTTCAGTTACATATTTGATGTCATTAAGACATTACACATGAAACAATTTTTAATTCTCCATCTCTCTCTCTCTGTCTTTCTAACCCTCTCTATCTCTCCCTACATCTCTCTATTTTTCACTCTCCCTCTCTCACTACCTTTCTCTCTAACGCTCTCTTCTCTTCCACTTTCTCTGTCCCTCTCTCTCTCTCTCTCTCTCTCTCTCTCTCTCTCTCTCTTTCTCTCTCTA